AAAAAATTCCATCTTGCAAGATGGCGGATGGAAAAGCTGAGTAGAAGCTAAGGATGCTGATGCCAGTGGTGAGATCAATGGGGAAGCCCCCTACATCTGGGAGCCTGTCCTAGCATAGAAATCTGCAGAGAGTCCCAATCTGAGAGGTACTCCAGGAAGACTATGCCCAAGCAGATGTCCACAGCAGTTAAATCCACAATTAAGAAGACAAAAGTGACTGGACGCGGTGGCTCATGCCTCCCAAGTGCTCATCCCAGCACTTTGGGAGGCTGAGGCGGGCAGATCACCTGGGGTCAGGAGTCACAAACCAGCCTGGCCAACATGGTGAAACTCTGTCTCTACTAAAAATGCAAAAAGTAGCCAGACATGGTCGTGGGCACCTGAAAATCCCAGCTACTCAGGAGGCTGAAGCAGAAGAATTGCTTGAACCTAGAAGGTGGAGGCTACAGTGAGCCAAGATCCCGCCACTGCACTCCAGCCTGGTAAACAGAGCAAGACTCTGTCTCAAAAAAAAAAAAGTCCAGGCGCAGTGGCTCATGCCTGCAATCCCAGCACTTTGGGAGGTGGAGGTGGGTGGATCACGAGGTCAGGAATTCAAGACCAGCCTGGTCAACGTGGTGAAACCCCACCTCTACTAAAAAATACAAAAATGAGCCAGGCGTGGTGGCACATGCCTGTAATCCCAGCTACTCGGGAGGCTGAAACAGGATAACCTGGGAGGCGGAGGCTGCAGTGAGCCGAGATCATGCCATTGCACTCCAGCCTGGGTGACGGGATGAGACTCCATCTCAAACACACACACACACACACACACACACACACGGAAGAAAAAGGAAAGTTCTTTCTACTATGACAAAGCTAGGTGGTGGTAATAAGAATGGTGACATCAAAGTGAGAAATCATCAAAATGCCCAGACAGTACTCTCCTGAAGATGTGATTTGAGAACTGTTCAGACATGAAACAAAGCACTACCATCAACATGTAAGAAAACTACATTTGGGCATCCCTGCTGGGGCTCCTCTGATCATCCTCACTGGCCACAGGGAAGGCAAGCAGTGGTTTCCCTGAAGCTACTGAGCAGTAGCCTGCCACACAGACCACTAAATCCTCAACTGAGTTCCTTTACACAGAACACTGAAAATTTGTCAACGCCTCTACCAAAATGGACTTTAATGGTGTGAAAATCCCAAAGCATTTCAATAATGCTTACTTTTAAGAAGAATAAGCTGCCTGAGACTAGACACCAAGAAGAGGAGCTCTTCAACTCAGAGAAGAGAAATATGAGTTTATTGAACACTGCAAGGTAGACCAGAAAACTGTGGACTCTCGACTTTGGTTCAAAAAGCAAAGCCCTTCCTAATTCCAGGACCTCTTAGATTCTGTGTGGCATTGAAAATGAAGTTTATCTTCACAAGTTAGTGTTCTAAACCTCTTGCAGAGCTCTGATTAAAATATCTAAAACAGGCTGGGTGTCGTGGCTCACGCCTGTGATCCCAACAATTTGGGAAGCCAAGGAAGGAGGATGGCCTGGGGCCAGGAGTTCAAAACCAGCCTAGGCAACCTAGTGAGACCCCAGTCTCTGAAAAATTTAAAAATTAGCTAGGCATGGTGGTTTGTACCTGTTGTCCCAGCTAATCAGGAGGCTGAAGCAGGAGAATCACTTGAGCCCTGGAATTTGAGGTTACAGTGAGCTATGATCATGCCACTGCAACAGAGACCTCATCGCTTAAAAAAAAAATACGTATCTAAAACAACAATAACAAACAAACATGAACCAAAACAAACAAAAGCCCTATTGTTTCAAGGGAACTTCTTTTCCTTTTTTTTTTTTTTTTTTGATAGGGAGTCTCACTCTGTCGCCCAGGCTAGAGTGTAGTGGCATAATCTCGGCTTACTGCAAGCTCCGCCTTCTGGGTTCACACCATTGTCCTGCTTCAACCTCCCAAGTAGCTGGGACTATAGGCACCCACCACCGCGTCTGGCTAATTTTTTATATTTTTAGTAGAGACAGGGTTTCACCATGTTAGCCAGGATGGTCTCGATCTCCTGATCTCCTGATCTCATGATCCACCCACCTCGGCCTCCCAAAGTGCTGGGATTACAGGCGTGAGCCATCACGCCTGGCCCAAACTTCTTTTCTTAATAAAGAAGCCTGAGGCTAGGCACAATGGCTCATGCCTGTAATCCCAGCACTTTGGGAGGCCAAGATGGGTGGATCAACTGAGGTCAGGAGTTCAAGACCAGCCTAACCCACATGGCGAAACCCCATCTCTACTAAAAATACAAAAATTAGCTGGGCATGGTGGCATGCGCCTGTAGTCTCAGCTACACAGCCGGCTAAGACAGGAGGATCACTTGAACCCAGGAAGTGGAGGTTGTAGTGAGCCGAGAATGCACGACTGTACTCAAGCCTGGGTGACAGAGAAAGATTCCGTCTCAGAAAAAGAAAAGAAAAAAAGAAAAGGCGCAGTGGCTCACACCTGTAATTCCAGCACTTTGGGAGGCCGAGGCGGGTGGATCACCTGAGGTCAGGAGTTTGGGACCAGCCCCACCAACATAGCGAAACCCTGTCTCTACTAAAAATATAAAAATTAGCAGGGTATGGTGGCATGCACCTGTAATCCCAACTACTTGGGAGGCTGAGGCAAGAGAATCACTTGAACCCAGGAGGTGGAGGTTGCAGTGAGCTGAGACTGAGCCATTGCACTCCAGTCTGGGTGACACCAGCCTGGGTGACAGAGCGAGACTTTGTCTCAAAAAAAAAAAAAAGTCCGTTAATACATTCAAACATGAGAAGCTCCCTAAGATGCAGAGAGCACAAGGTAAATATTGCATCTGCAACAAATGTCCTGGAACACCAGCAACCCTAGAAACACACCAAAGTCATCTGTGAAGATGAGGGTTCCATGTCCCAAGTCTCAAAGAAGGAAAGCTTCTAAGGCAATATTTAAGAAAGGGTGTTTCAGGCCATACACCTAAGAGCCATGGCATTGGTTCTGAAGGCACATGTGGTCAGTCAAAGCCAGTCTTCCAATAGATTCGTATGTGAATGTCCTCACTCAGAGGACAAGGAAAACTTCTCTCCAGGCACTGGGTTCTCAACTAATATGAAACCAAGACAAATAAACTTATTTATTTTAGGTCAGAAATAAAAGCAGCAAATTCCTCAAAAACTGGCCAGTAGAAGTTTAAGATACGTGGGAGTTCATCTCTCTCGTACCTTTTCTCTCACGTGAGCCTGTTTATCTCCATTCAGGGTAACATGACAGTCTTCTTTTGAGGGCTGAATCAGGAACAAAAATTGTTTCTAGGATACACTCTTTAAATTTAGGAATTTAATCCCTCAAGAACCTAAACAAGGCCCTAAAATGAATTTTAGCATTTTATTACTATGATATATACACATCAGGGAAAATTATGCCACTGCTCAAAGAATAAAGTAGACCTGCGTGACTGACGAGGAAGAAAGGATGTCTGGGATACACTGGTGAAAGGCAACAGCAAGCTGGAGAGCCAAGCATAGAGTAACATACCATTTTTACAAAGCAACTATACACATGAGGATATAGAAGTATCCCCCACCGGGGCTGGGCACGGTGGCTCACACCTGTAATCCCAGCACTTGGGAAGGCCAAGGCAGGAAGATCGCTTGAGCTCAAGAGATCAAAACCAGCATGGGCAACATGGCAAAACTCCGTCTCTACTAAAAATACAAAAATTGGCTGGGTACGGTGGCTCAAGCCTGTAATCCCAGCACTTTGGGAGGCCGAGACGGGCAGATCACAAGGTCAGGAGATCGAGACCATCCTGGCTAACCCGGTGAAACCCCGTCTCTACTAAAAAATACAAAAAACTAGATGGGTGAGGTGGTGGGCGCCTGTGGTCCTAGCTACTCGGGAGGCTGAGGCAGGAGAATGGCGTAAACCCGGGAGGCAGAGCTTGCAGTGAGCTGAGATCCGGCCACTGCACACTAGCCTGGGCGACAGAGCGAGACTCCGTCTCAAAATAAAAAAAAAATACAAAAATTAGCCAGGTGCAGTGGTGTACACCCAGGAGGCTGAGGTGGGAGGATTGTTGGAGCCCAGGAAGTTAAGGCTGCAGTGAGCCATGTTCATGCCACTGAACTCTAGCCTGGGTGACAAAGCGAGACCTGGTCTCAAAAAAAGAAGAAAAGAAAAATATCCCCACCATGCTCCCACAGAGCATACTTAAGGGTCAGAAAGGAAGAGCTTATGTAACCATTTAACATTTCTTCCCCTAGGGAAGAGGATTAGAAAATAAAACAGAGGGACTGGGCAGAGTGGCTCATGCCTATAACCCCAACACTTTGGGAGGCTGAGGCAGGTGGATCATTTGAGGTCAGGAGTTTGCGGCCAGCCCGGTCAGTGTGATAAAATCCCATCTCTACTAAAAATACAAAAATTAGTTGGGCGTGGTGACATGCACCTGTAATCCCAGCTACTTGGGAGGCTGAGACAGAAGAATCACTTGAACCTGGGAGGCGGAGATTGCAGTGAGCCGAGATTGTGCCACTGAACTCCAGCCTGGGTGACAGAGCGAGACTCTGTGTCAATAAAAAAAGAAGAGAAAAGAAAATGGGGGGCTTTCCCTTCAACTTCATGCATTTCTACAGTGTTTGCATTTTCTTATCACAACCATGAATTATTATCTTTTTTTTTTATCCTAAGCAAGTTAACACAGGAAGTTTTTAAAAATTAAAGCAACATTCTCTTATATGTAATAACAGACTATTCCCCCAATAAATGATTTCCTATTATTGCCTTAAAGCCACAGCTACAATATGCAACAATCAATGAGACTGTTTCTAAATGGGTTAGCTCTTGATCTTCATAAAGAGGAAACCAGGGAGACACCTGTAAGGCAAGAAAGCCTTTGAATGAATGAGACCACATGGGCAAGAACCACATTCAGTTTTACCACAGGCATCTGAGTGTCAGAGTGTTAGGCTAATTCCAGAGAGACAGATGAAAAGACTCACCAGATAAAGGTGATTTTTGTCCTGAAAGGCATACTGTAATTGGGGGATCCACGGGCTTGTGCTTCGAGATAGTATGTTCCGCTCTTCCTCAAAAAATGAAACCTAGGAAAAAAAGAAACTGCTTAGAAAATTATAAAAATTAAGTGTGAGAGGGGGAAAAAAGTATTTTCCTCTGTCTTTATGCCTAAACAGATATTTCTAGCTTAAAAAAAAAAAAAAAAAGAAAAAGAAAAGAAAAGAAAGAAGAAGGAAGGAAGGAGGAAACGAGGGAGGGAGGGAGGGAGGGAGGGAAGGAGGCAAGGAAGGGGCTGTCACTTAGCCCAGAATTGCATAAATCTCAATCATTCACCTACTTTGGTCACAATTTTTGCCAGCTCCATATATTACCTGCTCAATTCTTTAACGTATTTCTTTAAACTCCCTTTCTTTAAATGTAAATATTTTTCTCTTCCTTTTCTGTTCCTGAACAATTCAGTCCTAAAGCCACTCGCTGGTATGGAACAAGGTAAGCAACCATACTGGTTATGGGGAGAGTCACGGTGGCCCAGGACAGGGTGCCAGTCCCAAGCAACGTGAGGAGGGTGGCACCCACGTGTGGGCGCAGCCCAATACCACAGGCCCACACAGGGTGAAGAAGACATCCACGTGAAAGGGCAACTTATCTGGACAGAGCAGATTATCTGGACCCACCAAGGGGAGGTGGGATACCAACAAAGACAGTAGATTGGATGCACACAGATGCATAAAATAAGTAAACATATTAAGAGTATAATGTCAGAGAAGAGAATTACAAACATGGAAAGGGTGAAAACTAAAATGAACCCTGTGAAGTTGGATTGGAACTGGGGGTACTGGTGTGAACTCATGGTTTTCCCTTTTTATTTTTGTAGAGACAGAGTCTCTATGTTTCCCAAGCTGGTCTTGAACTCCTGGCTTCAAGTGATCCTCTTGCCTCAGCCTCCCAAAATGCTGAGATTAAAGGCATGAGCCACTGTGCTCAGCCACAGTTTTCAATATATAGACATAGATATACAAATATAGATGTAAATGTATGTGCGTGTGTGTGCGTGCGTGCACACGTGCACGTGTAGGTGGATATATACTGTATATACAGTATATGTATATTCCTTAGTGCTGTCCACTGAAAGGGGTCTGGGAGTAGTGACACCCCAGTAGCAATGAAAATACCCGATGTCCAGATCTCGGCCTCTAAACACCATTGTCCACTGAAAGGAAAAGGGCTCCTCTGAGAAATGACTGATGCCAGAGCCAGGGCAGAGAAAGTAAAATTACCAAAAGAACCTGAACATCTTGCTATACCAGAAAGCAGGAAAGTATTCAATGAATCTTGGAGACAAGTGAAAAGGACACAAAAGCTAACCAAAAAAGGTTCTCAGTGGCCAAATTGGGAACAATTTAAGTATAAAACTCGTGACAGAAATGGATTATAACTCACTGACTGAAATAGGAAAATGCAAGTCCACATAGATACAAAATATTTCCATCATTTGAAAGTAACTCTCCAAAAAACACTTTTTTAATTACAAAGGAGGCTGGGTGCAGTGGCTCATGCCTATCTTCCCAGCGCTTTGGGAGGCCAAGGCAGGAAGACTGCTTGAGGCCAGGAATTAGAGACCAGCGTGGACAACATAGTGAGATCCCATCTCTACAATACAAAGATTAGCTGGGTGTGGTGATGTGCGCTTATAGTCCCAGTTACTCAGGAGGCTGTGGCAGGTGGATTACTTGAGCCCAGGAGTTCAACGCTACAGTGAGCCAAGATCGCACCACTGCACTCCAGCTTGGGCAACCAAGCAAGACCCTGTCTCTAAGAAAAATAAAATAAATAAAATTACGAAGGAGGAAGGAGTAACTCCACAAGCAGAAAAGCATAACCGCCATCACGTTAATCAAGTGATCAAAGTGAGCATCAACATGAATATGATAAATTGAAACTGAGAGTCGCCTGCTTGGATGCAATAAGAACAGAGCATCTTGTCGGGAGGCTGAGGCAGGAGAATGGCGTAAACCCAGGAGGCAGAGCTTGCAGTGAGCTGAGATCCGGCCACTGCACTCCAGCCTGGGCGACAGAGCAAGACACTGTCTCAAAAAAATAATAATAATAATAACAGAGCATCTTGTCTGTGATATTCCAGCCAAAGATCAAGACCCTGAATCTAAACATGAGCAACATCAGACAAATTCAGATTTTACAAAATAACTGGCCTATAATCATCAGAATTGTCAAAGTCACGAGAGTCCAGGAAAAATCAAAGAACTGTTCCAGATTGAAGGAGACTAAAGAGACAGGACAATTAAGTGTCACGTGTGATCCTCAACTCGATTGTTTTATTCTAAAAGACATTATGGGGGCTGGGCATGGTGGCTCATGCCTGAAATCCCAGCACTTTGGGAGGCCGAGGCGGGCAGATCACTTGAGGTCAGGAGTTCGAGGCCAGCCTAGCCAACATGGTGAAACTCCATCTCTACTAAAAAATACAAAAATTAGCTGGGTGTGGTGGCGTGCTACTTGTGGGGCTGAGGCAGGAGAATCACGTGAACCCGGGAGGCGGAGGTTGTGGTGAGCTGAAATCTCACCACTGCACTCTAGCCTGGGTGACTAAGCGAGACTGTGTCTTAAAAAAAAAAAAAACACTGTGTAAATCAACTGCTTAAAATAAATTATATATATATGCATATATATGTAAATATATTCTATGCATGTGTACATATATATTTCTGTGTATATATATTCTGTATGCAATATATATTCTATGTGTATATACATTCTGTGTGTGTGTGTATTCTATGTATATATTCATTGTGTATCTATCAAATGGTTTAAGAAAAAAAGTTGTTTATACTGTATGTGATGGTTAGTCTTGTGTCAACTTATAATCCTAGATGATTACATATCTATCTCCTACTGGTTCCATTTCCCCTAAGAACCCTGACTATACTGTACTTGTAACTTTTCTATAAATTTGTGATTGTTGGCCAGGCGCGGTGGCTCACGCCTATAATCCCAACACTTTGGGAGGCCGAGGCGGGCAGATCACTTGAGGTCAGGAGTTCAAGACTAGCCTAGCCAACGTGGTGAAACGCCATCTCTACTAAAAATACAAAAATTAGCCGGGCATGGTGGAGAGAACCTGTAATCCCACCTATTCAGAAGGCTGAGACAGGAGAATCATTTGAACCCAGGAGGCAGAGGTTGCAGTGAGCAGAGACTGTGCCCCTGCACTCCAGCCTAGGTGACAAAGCAAGACTCTGTCTCCAAAACAAAAACAAAAAAAATGGTTACTGTTTCAATTTTTTTTTAATTTAATTTTAAACTATAAAAATTGTTTAGGTTATTGTTAGAACAAGTTACAGGGGATTTGTTTATTTGTTTGTTTGTTTGTTTTGTTTTAGAGACAGGGTCTTGCCGTGTTACCTAAGCTGGTCTCAAACTCCTGGGCCCAAACCATCCTCCTGTCTTGGCCTCCCAAAGTGCTGGGATTACAGGTGTGAGCAAAGTTACGGGTTTTGATATGTTAGTTAATATTAAACTATTAAATATTTTTACACAGGTTGTCCATGTACTACCTAAAATCATGAGATTTAACACTACCAGAGATAAATCTAACGCATTTGGGAAACAGCAACCTAACCCCAGTAATTTACTACACCTGATGCTGATCCTTCTTTTGTCTGGCACATAAAAGGTGTCCAAGGAAGGCTGAACTGAACAGTCTACACCTTTGCTTGCTCACCACTGACTCTGTCTGACCCCTGAAGCTTCCATTAAATAAGCAGTCTCCAAACAAAAAAAAAAAATTAAAAATAAATAAAATAAGCAGTCTCAGCCAGGAGGCGTGGCTCATGCCTGTAATCCCAACACTTTGGGAGGGGGAGATGGAAGGATCACTTGAGGCCAGGAGTTCAAGACCAGCCTGGGCAACATAGGGAGATCCCACCTCTACACAATTTTTCTTTTTTTTTTTTGAGATGGAGCGTTTGCTCTTGTTGCCCAGGCTGGAGTGCATGGCATGATCTAAGCTCACTGCAACCTCTGCCTCCCAGGTTCAAGTGATTCTCCTGCCTCAGCTCCCGAGTAGCTGGGATTACAGGCATGTGCCACCACACCCAGCTAATTTTTTGTATTTTTAGTAGAGATGGGGTTTCTCCATGTTGGTCAGGCTGGTCCCGAACTCCCAACCTCAAGTAATCTGCCTGCTTCGGCCTCCCAAAGTGCTGGGATTACAGGCGTGAGCCACCGCGCCTGGCTCACAAAAATTTTTTTTAAAGTTAGTTGGGGGCTGGGCACAGTGGCTCACGCCTGTAATCCAGTACTTTGAGAGGCTGAAGTGGGCAGATCACTTGAGGTCAGGAGTTCGAGACCAGCCTGGCCAACACGGCAAAACTCTGTCTCTACTAAAAAACACAAAAAACATTAGCCAGACATGGTGGTGCCCGCCTGTAGTCCCAGCTACTAGGGAGGCTGAAGCACAAGAATCACTTGAACCCAGGAGGCAGAGGGCGCGGTGAGTGAGATCGAGCCACTGAACTCCAGTGGACTCTGTCTCAAAAAAATAAAAATAAAAAGAGTTTTTAAAATAATAAAGTGGGTCGGGCACAGTGGCTCACACCTGTAATCCCAGCACTTTGGGATGCTGAGGCAGGCAGACCACAAGGTCAGAAGTTCGAGACCAGCCACCTGACCAACATGGTGAAACTCCCCCCCTCTACTAAAAATACAAAAATTAGCCAGGTGTGGTGGCAGGCACCTGTAATCCCAGCTACTCAGGAGGCTGAGCCAGGAGAATCACTTGAACCTGGAAGGCGGAGGTTGCAGTGAGCCGAGATTGCACCACTGCACTCTAGACTGGGCAACAGAGTGAGACTCATTCTCTAAATAAATAAATAAATAAATAATAAAGTGAACCGGGTGTGGCAGCACATGCCTATGGTCCCTGCTACTTGAGAGGCTGAGGCGGGAGGGTCCCTTAAGCCCAGGAGTTTGAAGATGCAGTGAACTATGACCGCACCACTGCATTCCGGCACAGATGACAGTGAGACCCTGTCTCTAAAATAATAGAAACAGTCGGCCAGGCGCGGTGGCTCATGCCTGTAATCCCAACACTTTGGGAGGCCAAGGCAGGGGAATCACGAGGTCAGGAGATGGAGACCATCCTGGCTAACATGGTGAAACTCCATCTCTACTAAAAATACAAAAAAATTAGCTGGGCGTGGTGGTGGGCACCTGTAGTCCCAGCTACTTGGGAGGCTGAGGCAGGAGAATGGTGTGAACCCGGGAGGCGGAGCTTGCAGTGAGCCGAGATTGTGCCACCACACTCCAGCCTGGGCGACAGAGCAAGACTCTCTAAATAAATAAATAAATAAATAAGCAGTCTCTGAGGACCCCTTCCAGCTGTCAGAGAACCTGGGCAGGTGTGTGGGCCTCTCCCAGGAGAGGCCTCGGACTTGTCTGCAGAACAGCATCCCTCCCTCCTCTCGGGCGCTTCGTTTCCTTTGCTCCTTGTGCTGGCTTCCCTCCTCTCATGCCCTTAAATTCCAAATGGCTCAGTTAAGGACCCTACTTTTCTTTTCTCTGCATCCTCTTAAGGAATGAATAGGCGGCTTTAGTTAGCGCCTGTATGTGTATAATTTTATAAGCCCCCAGCCCACACTTCCACACGGTCATTTCAGGCCATTCGCCCGGAGGAAGGCATACCTATTTGAATGTCTCTATTGTTTGCCTGCCGTGTGGTCTATTGGATTATTTTCTTTTTACATGCACTATTTCCCATCAAAAACATAAGTATCACAAGGTCAGGGCTACATGTAATGCCTCTTCCCCAGGACCTAGAAACATACCAGACACAGCAGATGCTCAGGTAGTGTGAACTGATGAGACACAGTTCTTTCTCAGGAGCTGGGAGGCTGAGTGAGCATCTTCCACTCCTCTCTTCCAAATTATCTGCCATGTCGTCACTTTTCCTTTCTATTATGTTGCTCACATTTTATTGCTAAACACAGAAGCCACTCTCAGATCCTGACAAGCAGCTTCCTGCCCTCCACCGCTTCTCTGATTGGAGGGCACACAAAGTCACTGAAGTCCACAGGGCCAGACTCTGATCCCAACCTCCTCCTTCCAGAGGTCTAAATAATCCCCAACAGCCTCACAAAGTAAACTGCAATTCAAAAACTGGTTCTTGGGGGAATGGGGAGGTATTGTATAATGGATAGAGAGTTTCCGTTTGGGATAGAAAAGTTCTAGAAATGGATAGTGGTCATGGTTGTACAACATCATGAATGCATTGAATACCACCCAGTTGCACATTTAAAAATGGTTAAAATGGTACACTTTATGTTATATATATTTTACCACAATTTTTTAAAAAAAGGTTCTTGAGTTTCCCACCCATTTCCCCCTCCCCACCCAAATGTCCTCATTTCGCCATTTCCCAGTCTGTTCTGAACCACTGAACACACACACACACCCCCACACACACACTTGCATAGCATTCTAGTACTCCAGAATGTCACACTTCTACCCAACATGTTCTCATCACTTCTCTCTGCCCAGAACCTACATTTCTCCCCATCAGTGAGAACTGTCCCTAACTGTCCCTTGCTCACCCACAACATCTCCCCTCACATCACCGTTAATTAATTTGCTAATTGCTCTCCCGCTTCTGTGATACTTTAGCTGGTAAGCACCTGCTTTATACATTTGCATATTTCCTCCACTTTCCAAGGTTGTTTTTAAACCCTGCAAATAACAGCCATGGGACTTCTATTCCTTTTGCAAGCTTCCTGCAGAGCTGGGTACATTATCAGACATATCATGTGCACTAAAATGTCTGTAAGTAATAAATTACTCTCTGAATTCCAAGGCTGATGGCCATCTCTCTAAAACACAGCAAAAGAATCAATGTCGAGAGACTGTAGCCTTGTTTAAAAGAAAGAAAAATACCACAACAAAAAAGATAACATTCTACCTGCTCTCAAACAAGCAACTCCCTAGCCACATAACAAAGAATTTTATTTGATTTCTTCAAAGGCCTGTTTTAAAACCAAATCCATATGCCCACAACACAAATATCTAAAGCGTGTACAAAAGCAATGCGATTCACCCCACCATATGTATATCCTGAGTCCCCAGCTAGCGGTCATAAAAGATCATCTTAAATTCATTAGTTAAAAGGCCAACTTGGTACTGAAATAAATCACCACTATAGAAACATGATATATCAAGAGGAATTTGTGAGCCTTCAAAATTAGCCAACATCAGTTCAAGAAGATGAGCTAAGAACACAAGAGACCTCTTTGCCCCAACCATCATTAAATATAGTCACAGAGGAAAACGTGCTCGATCCTAGATGCAAGTGCAGCAGATTCTCGTCTTTGCAATGAACACTCCAGTACAGAAAGTGGACAAGCATGATGTTAAAATCCTCCTACCTGCTCCTGGGCCAATAAAGCCTTCTTCTTCATCACTTTCATAGCATGGATGTCCCCGGTTGCTTTCTCTCTCACCACCTGCACTTCAGCAAAGTGACCACAACCTACTAGACTTCTGACTTCAAAGTCCTTTGCCGAAGGCTGGAGCTCCTGTAACTCAGCTATGGTGTCGGAATCTGCAAAAGATGCAAGAGTTATCCCCAGGTAAATAAAGCATGCAAATATATGCATCTTTATGAAAGAAAAAAAAAAGAAAATAGCGTTCGGATAGCTTCCCTCACTGTCAAAGACATTCACTTTCTCATCCATCATGAATAATTATAAAATCAGTACAAAAGTGTTTTTATATGTTAAGTTAAAATTAAGGGCTCCAGAAATTCCAAAGTACAGTTTCCATGGCAGCTACAATTTGAATCCCATAGACTCAGAAAATAGGCAGAGAGGATACAAATTATGTTTTCCTTCTTCCTCTCTGAAGGCTGCAGGGCAGTGTTTGGTCAAGCATGCTTATCAGCATTTAGACTGGTTTACAGTGTGACATAGTCAACAAGAGTCTAATTTAGACCAACTTGGGACCTGGCTTCCAGGTCATGCCATTCAAACTACATGTGCTTAGTTTTATCCCACTAGCCCAAGGTTCATCTTCCTTGGATTGTATCAGTAATGCCTTCGTAGATTTAATATGTGGCAGTGCTTAAAGGGGCAGAGGGGGCTGGGCATGGTGGCTGACACCTGTAATCCTAACACTTTGGGAGGCCTAGGCAGGTGGATCACTGGAGGTCAGGAGTTCAAGACCAGCCTGGCCAACATGGTGAAACCCCATCTCTACTAAAAATACAAAAATTAGCCAGGTGTGGTGGTGCATGCCCATAATTCCAGCTACTCGGGAGGCTGAGGCACAAGAAACACTTGAACCTGGGAGGCAGAGGATGCAATGAGCTGAGATCGTGTCACTGCACTCCAATCTGGGTGACAGAGTGAAACTCTGTCTCTAAAAAAACAAAGCATGGAGGCCGGTCGCGGTGGTACACCTGTAATCCCAGCACTTTGGGAGGGTGAGGTGGGCGGATCACAAGGTCAGGAGATCAAGACCATCCTGGCTAACATGGTGAAACCCCATCTCTACTAAAAAAATAAGCCAGATGTGGTGGCGGGCACCTGTAGTCCCAACTACTCGGGAGGCTGAGGCAGGAGGATGGTGTGAACCCAGGAGGCGGAGCTTGCAGTGAGCCGAGATTTTGCCACTGCATCACAGCCTGGGCGACAGAGCAAGACTCCATCTCCAAAAATAAATAAATAAATAAAAATTTAAAAAAAAAAAAAAAAGCATAGTAGGCAGAAGGGCTTAGCACTCAGAGAACCAAATGGGGCCCTGACATCTGCTCTGCAGGGCTGACATGCCACATGTCCAAATGGATTTGCAACTATCTTTTTCTTACCATACAGTCTCATTCTTTTTCCAAGTCTAATCTTTCAGTCGGAGATCCTCAACGTATGAAGTATGGACTAAATGGACAGCAGATTTGGAATCTAACATGTTTATTAACACTCTAGATACACTGATCTGATACATCGCTAGATGTGCGATGGCCCTAATGACCTGCAGGAATGAAGGGGAGCAGCAGTGGCTGACCCAAAAATTTAATCCTGCACATTACAAGGGAACAGCATCATATACAGGCATTACACAACATGGGCAGGCAAGCAATTCTTATAATCAAAATTACCCTGAAGAATCCGGCAGAATGATGCCACACTAAAGACCAAGGGACTGTCTTAAAATCCCAAACACACACTGGAATCTTCTGGAACTGGAAGGGATGGCCATTTCAATGGCTGGGCAGCAGATAAGGTTAGCAGTTACATTCTAGAGTCATACTCAGTCCTGCAAGTGGCTCACCCAATGAGACGGACTTGGTCCATCAAAGGGAAAAGCCATTTCATACCACAGTCAGTGACTGGCATTTTAATGAGTTGGCCAATGTCATTTTTTTCATTTTCTTTTTTCTTTTTTTTTTTTAAGAGACACAATTGGCCAGGCATAGTAGCTCACACCTGTAATCCCAACACTTTGGGAGGCCGAGGTGGGTGGATCACCTAAGGTCAGGAGTTCAACATGGTGAAACTCCCATCTCTACTAACAATACAAAAATTAGCTGTGCATGAGTGGCTGCTTGCAATCCCAGCTGCTCAGGAGGCTGAGGCAGGAGAATCACTTGAACCTGGGAGGTGCAGGTTGCAGTGAGCAGAGATCGCACCACTGCACTTCAGCTTGGGTGACAGAGACTCCACCTCAAAAAAAAAAAAAAAAAAAGAACATGATCTTGCTCTGTTGCCCAGCCTGGAATGCAGTGGTGAAATCATAGAATCATAGCTCACTGCAGCCTCGAACTCCTGGACTCAAGGGATCTTCACCCACCTCATTCTCCCGAGTAGCTGGGACTATAGTGCACACTACCATATGTACAGGTAGGGTCTCATTATGCTGCCCAGGCTGGTCTCAAACTCCTGGACTAAAGCAATCCTCCCAATTTGGCTTCCCAAAGCACTAGGATTACAGGCATGAACTATCACACTCAGCCTGCAACTGTAACTGGTCTTGCCCACCCTCTTCCTTTGGTACACAGGTGGAGCTGAAATCTCTTGGGTCAAAGGCATATATAATGAGTGCCACGGTATTAAGAGTCTTCTCAGCCACAGACCCCACCCCTCACTTCAGCAGTCATCCTGAATACACCTTCCCTTGGTCCCTTGGGGAACCAGGCAAGAGTGCTGGGTGGATCCACACGAAGTCGTGACCACTGTAAAAAACAAATCTAGGGCATCTACATGGGGAACGCCATGAAGAAGCAAAATTAAAAGCTATACAGTATTTTCCTTTTGCCCTGACAATGCTGTAACAAGCCCGTCTTCCTTCCCTGTCTCTTTCCAAGTTTCTTTCAGATCAAGTATTTGAGTTTTGAATTATAATTCCCCAAAAACTTGCTGGATTGAAGTGGATTTTCTTATTGCTCATACACAAAGTCAATCTCTCCTAATTCTTCATTGTGGCTTGGATTGTTTACAAAGTTGCTTACAGCGGTGTCCAACTTAATAACTGGGTCTGTCACTGGCGACCACCAGGTATCTCAGCTGCACAAGGAGACAGACCACGTTGCTTTGCAGGCAAAACCACGACAATACTATCTTGGAATTCTGAGAAGCCATTTCAAATCTCCATTTCTTTATCTAAAGACTTTTGGATTATTAAGGCAAACAGATGAGAGGCTACATTCAAGCCTAAGATTATTTAAAAAAAAAAAAAAGGCCAGTACAATGGCTCAGGCCTGTAATCCCAGCACTTTGGGAAGCCCAGGTGGGTGGATCACCCGAGGTCAGGAGTTCAAGATCAGCCTGGCCAACATGGTGAAACCCCATCTCTACCAAATACAAAAATTGGCTGGGTGTGGTGGCACATGCCTATAATCCCAGCTAGTCAGGAGGCTGAGGCATAAGAATCACTTGAACCAGGGAGACAGAGGTTGTGATGAGCTGAGATCAAGCCACTGCACTCCAGCCTGGGGGATAGAGTGAGATTTTGTCTCCAAAAAAAAAAAAAAAAAAAAGAATTTCACAACTTCTCTCTATACCAGCTACTTCTGTGACCCTAAAACCGTCACATCACTCTTCACCCCTGTGCACTTTTAGCTGCAGTATCTAAGGGCCCAGTGGGCATTGAATATTGAGGCACTGAGGTAGAGATAAGGACCCAAAGCACTGTGAAAATGCAGTCATAGAGCCAGGCGCCATGGCTCACGCCTGTAATCCCAGCACTTTGGGAGGCCGAGGCAGGTGGATCACCTGAGGTCAGGAGTTCAAAACCATCCTGGCTAACATGGTGAAACCCCATCTCTATGGAAAATACAAAAAATTAGCCAGGTGTGGTGGTGCATGCCTGTAATCCCAGCTACTTAGGAGGCTGAGGCAGGAGAATCGCTTGAACCTGGGAGGCAGAGGTTGCAGTGAGCTGAGATCACGCCATTGCACTCCAGCCTAGGCAACAAGAGCGAAACTCCAACTCCGTCTCAAAAAAAAAAAAAAAAAAAAAAGAAAAGAAAAGAAAAGAAAAGAAAAGAAAAGAAAAGAAAAGAAAAGAAAATGCAATCAGAGAATAACTCTGTCAGATATCATCTAGACCCAAGAGCAAAAGCCAACATAGCGGGGTGTATTGCTTCCTTTTTTGGAACATGGTAATTCAACCTTTCAATTTCTAGGAATCATCCATTGTCTACAGAAATACTTGCACATGTGCTCAAAAAAGATGTATACAAAGATGTGCACGATAAAAACTGTTGTAACAGAAAAATAATCAGAAACCACCTAAAGGTTTATCAACAGGAAAGTTGAAACAGCCTACAAGTCTGCCCATAACAAGATGGCTCAGTCTCCGTTAGAACACATATTCCTTACAGGCAGGAGTTTTCTCTGGTTTAAACAAACCAAGATGAGAGGAGGGAGACAATTTGAAAAAAATAACTATTTGAAAAAATAACGTTTGTTTGTTTGTTTCTGGGATGCAGTCTCACTCTGTCGCCCTGGCTGTAGTGCAGTGGCGTGTCTTGGCTCACTGCAACCTCCGCCTCCAGGGTTCAAGCAATTCTCATGCTTTGGTCTCCCGAGTAGCTGGAACTACAAGTGCCCACCGCACCCGGCTAATTTTTGTATTTTTAGGAGACTGGGTTTCACCATTTTGGCCAGGCTGGTCTCAAACTCCTGACCTCAAGTAATACACCCGCCTCGGGCTCCCAAAGTGCCAGGATTACAGGCATGAGCCACCACACCTGGCCACCTTGGGGTATGTTTTTAAATTTCCATAATAAATATTTTTAAGGCACACACAAAATTGGAATACTATACAGCAATCTGTTAGCAGTGATTACCTCAGGTAAGATTTGGAGGGACTTTTCTCTTACCATGTACGTGATGTGCTATAATCTAAATGTTTGTGCCCCTTGCCCCCGCAAAATTCATGTTGAAACGTAATCCCCAGTGTAATACTATTACGAGGTAGGACTTTTAGGGGCTGGCCACAGTGGCTCACACCTGTAATCCCAGCATTTTGGGCGGATCACTTGAGGTCAGGAGTTCAAGACCAGACTGGCTAATATGGTGAAACCGCTACTCTACTAAAAATACA